TTCGAACGCATCATCCGTAGACAATATGCGATGGTACGAATTAATCGCGTATAGGATGAAAATCCTTTAAAAATGTCGTCGGAATGGGTCTGTGATATTAAACAAACGGCCTTCTTCAAGCCGGGTAATTCCTTAATGGGAATTTCAATACTCGTAGGCCAAGTCGCTTCGGACTGTCTGAGCCATAATGGACCGTTAAACCAAGATTCGTTTTTCAAGAATTCTCGCGGAAGTTGACTTCGCGATAACGCGTCGGCTGGGTTGTTTTCCGATCGAATATGCCGCCACTCTAATTCATCCCCAACGTCCTGAATTTCCTTGACGCGATTCGCTTCGAATACTTTAAGTATATTTGGAGATTTTCGCAGCCAATGTAAGACGATCATGGAGTCGGTCCAAAAGACGACTTTACTCGGTTTAAAAGTAAAAACCGTGGAGACTTCGCGATACAAACGCGTGAGGGTCAGGGCACCACAAAGTTCGAGTCGCGGTATGGTTGTGTCTTTAAGAGGCGCGACGCGTGTCTTGGCGCAACAGAGTCTTACGATCGTATCGCCTTGTTTGTTGCAAGATCGCACGTACAAACAGGCTCCGTAACCGATTTTACTCGCGTCGCAAAAGCCATGAATCTGAACTTCCGTGAAATTTTCAATCATTAGACGACGGTCAATGGTCAAATGATCAATTAACTCGAGTTGTTCTATGAATGTTAGCCACGAGGAATGTAACGCGCTGGGTACGGATTCGTCCCATGAGATTTTTGTTCTCCAACACTCCTGCATTAATACCTTTGACGCAAGGATGATAGGGCCGAGCAGCCCGAGGGGGTCAAAGATTTTGGCTATTTCGGATAAAATGTGACGCTTGGAAACTCTATCGTTTATCTTGATAGGTTTAACCGTGTAAAGTAATTCATCGCGACGCGCATTCCATGCAATACCTAGCGTTTTTAGAATCGGATTTTCGTTGGTGAGGAATTCTATGTCTAACGTTCGTTCGCATAGGTTTTCGAGGGCCTTCGGATGGGTCGAAGCCCATTGTCGAATATGGAAACCGCCGCGTTTCAGAATTTCTATGGTCTCGTCGCGAATTTGCAAGAGTTTCTTTAGTGTATCCGCGCCTGTTAAAAGGTCGTCAACGTATAGGTCGCGTTTCAGAATCTCCGCGCCGACGGGAAAGTCTTTACTCTCGTCATTCGCAAGTTGTTGCACCGTGCGGATGGCTAAAAAGGGAGCCGATGATATGCCGAAAGTAACGGTATTGAGTTGAAAGGTGCGGACGCGATTTTCGTGATACCAAAAAGTTTTTTGATATTGTCGATCGTTGGGATGTATCCAGATTTGCCGATACATTTTTTCGATGTCGGCAGTAAGTACGTATCTATGCGTGCGAAATCGTATCAGATGTTCAAACAATTTACTCTGAATCGTGGGGCCGACCATCAACGTATCGTTCAGTGATATCCCCCTGTTGGTTTTCGCCGATGCGTCAAAAACGACTCTTACTTTAGTCGTGGTACTTGTGGCTTTTGTGACTGCGTGGTGGGGAAGATAACATCCGCCCTCTGCCTCGTCTGAAGTTAATGACATGTGGCCTAACTCAATATATTCTTTCATTATGTGCTCGTACTCTCGTTTGAGTCTCGGATTGGCATCGAGCTTCTTCTGAAGCCCGTAAAACCGACGCAACGCGATCGCGCGTGAGTTTCCGAATTCTCGTTCCGCTAGACGGAACGGTAGCCGTACGATATAGCGCCCGGAATTATCGCGTGTTAGATTCTGCGCATAATGACGTTCGCATTCGGATTCCTCCGGTAGGCCAAATTGTTTCGCGGTCGTGTCTTCTAACAACCAAAATTTCGCGATTTGATCCTTCAGTTCCGTTAGTTTGCATGAGACCCTTCCCCCTCCTTCGGGGGAAGCTACCCCGCCGACGACGGCCCAGCCGAGCTGCGTCTTTTGTAAAAATAAATCACTTTTATCTTGTGAAAGGTTGATCTGTCCGATCGATAGCAGGGATAGAGTAGCGCCGGATCCGATAATTATATCGACCGATCGCGGTAAATGAAATTGTGGGTCTGCTAGTTTCAAATTCGAAGGTATATTAATAGTCTCGCGCGGAAACGTCGCGCTTGGAACTCTTTCCGCGATTTTCGGAACTATTAAAAATAAAAGTTTCTTATTAAAATTATTGTGAATCGAGTAGAAGGACAATTCGATCGCGCCGTGAGACGTCGTGTGCATATCGTCGATCGCGCCGACTGAAATAGAGCACGGGTGTATCGGCAGTCCGGTGCTGCGAGCAAACTGTTCCGTCACGAAGTGCGCCGTGGCGCAGGTATCTAACAGCGCGCGGCATTGTACGAAATTTCCATTAACGCCCTTAACCCGAACAACCGCGCTCATCATCAATTGCGACAATGGGTCCCGTGTCAATGCGTTCAGAAGACGGGCCGAGCCTAGTCAATCCGATACAAACGGCGCCGCCGATGATTGTTTCGGGGAACTCTCAATTTCTACCTTCGCCGCGTCTTGTTTCGAGGAACGTGACTCGGCCAAATGATTGTGCAAAAGCGTATTCCGTGATTTGTTGCAAATCTTGCACGGCGGCAACCTGCAGCGGCCGTCGTGTGAGCGCAGGCAGTTGAAGCAGATTTTAGATTTCCTCACGAAATCCCACCTACGCGGCATTGTTAACTTTGCGAATTCGGGACATCTGTATAAAAAGTGTCTCTCCTTTTTGCACAGCGAGCAATTGGAATAAGTATTTGTGACTAGAGCGCGCGCGCCGGAATCGTCCTTACGTGCCTTAAACGACGGTGTGCCCCCCCTCGATGCGGACCGCTTATTGCCGCTCTCTGTTCTAGAACGCGACGCGTCGTGCTCGAGTGCGAAGATGCGGAACGCCGTTTCCGATATGAATTTATATAGTTGATCGAGGGTCGGCAATACATCTAAGTTGAGAGTCTCTTCCCATTTAACGCGGATATTCGTGGGTAACGCTCGCTCGATTATACGAATCAATAAGTGCTGATCCGGGTTCACGTCTAGCGAAGCCAGCATATTCACGTGTTGTCGCATATCGTCGACGAGTCCCGTTAAACCCTTGTGTGTGGCTTTACTTTGATGCGGTAGTTCAATAATCGCGTCCAGATGTTTCGTAATCAAAATTCGTTTTCTCTCGTAGGAATCTTTAAGAAGCTTCCATGCGGTTTCATAATTTTCCTCACTCACGTTATAAATCGAGATCTTATTCAACGCGTCGCCTTGTAATGAATTTTTTAAATATAGGAACTTTTGCAAGTTCGTTATGTCCTGGCGTGAATCAATCATAGTCACGAACGTGTTCTTGTACGATAACCATTTCTCGATGTCGCCATCGAATTTCGGCAATTCTGCGACGGGCAATTTGATACGACGCGTGTTATTGTCAATTGGTATCGACGTTGCGTTCAGGTCGACCGCTCGCGATGTCGAGGCTTGCGAAGATGACTCGAACTTACTCGCGATCGCGTAGTACCGATCCTGAATGTCGCTAAACTCGTCCAAGTGCTCGTCCGTCGGTTCCAACGTGGCGAGTTCGTCGTGTAGATCCTCGTACGCGTGAAAAAGCTCGGTTATACGTTTCAATCGCATCCTCATATTCGCGTCGTCTACTCGTCCATCCGCGAGAATTTTCTCGAAGTTAGTTAATTGCGCCTTTAGCGTCGAGCGCTTTTGATGGATATACTTCGGGCGGTTCATAATGAATGTCGGTATTGTCCCGATAAATTAACGAATCTGTTATGTTATCCCTGAAGCGCGTCGGCGAATGTTTGATGTCGCGTAACCGCCAAATATCGGGCACCGATCGTCGGACCCCTCTCGCCCACGGCGCCCCTCCCCCTTCTCCCGACGTCGTCGTCGAGTCGGCGCGGTGAACAAAGGGAGAGCAAAAAAATAAACAAGTCAGGCGTTGGAAATTTTTTCCGAAAACAAGTCTGATCGTGTTCGAACACGTTTCAACGCGTCCCAGACGCGTACAAGGAAATCGCAATTGCGGCGACCGTTACTGGTCTTTTTCCACATGCACATATAATAATCGTAGGGCGAATATCTCCCCACACACACACAGTCAATTATGGCAAATTACCTCAATCTCAGGACAGAACGTATGAAACTGATGAAATGAATGCAAGCAATATTAATAGTTGTAAACACAAGAATTATTAAGTCTTGAATATAGAGACCTCATCGCTATACTGTCCTTTACTGAGAATAAACTCTATGCATAAGAAAAGATATGTATTAAGAAAAAGTACTTAAATTTGGACCTCGTTGACCCTCTGCAACGGCCGGTTGGGCTGGGCGATGTGGTCCCCGGAGACGACGGCGGCGCGGTCTGAGCGTCCTTGTCCTCGTCGGATATTCTCACCGTAGCGCAGGTTCGCGCCTTCAGACCTCACAGGAGGCACCAAAAACTGTAGCGTCGAAATCTCTCCAACATGGAGAGATTCCGTGGTTCGTATGACCCGGTAAGGTATGAGGGATATGAGTAAAGGAGACGTTAATTGAGCTTCAAGGA